TAGAGTCCAGGAAGATTTTCTCCAATCCCCTTGCCTAATCAATTCCTACTCATTCTTTAGATCTGTTAAATTGCCACTTCCCTGTGAAACCCCAGACAAGACTGCAAACTCCTGTATTTTTTTCTTTATTGCATTTACTGTTATATGTATACAATCATTAGTTTAATATGTCTCCCAGGCAAACTCTATGAAGCCACATCTTTTTGCTTGTATTGTATCTCCAGTGCCTAGAACTGTGCCTGAAAATCTTCCAAAAGTATTTGTTGAATGAATGGATAGCGAATAGGCCAGGCCACAGACATACGCAATTGGCTAGTGTCTTAAGCTCATGTTTAGAGCCAGGGAGGGATAAGCACTTGGTCCCAGAGGAAACGTATCGATCACAAGCTGAATCCCAAAGACCAGGGCGGGGGAAGTTCCTGGCAGTGACAAAGGGGAATAAATGGCAGGAGCCAGCTCTGCTGGTGTGGGGGTCCCGGAAGACTGATCCGGGGTATAGTGGGGCCAAGAAGTGTCCAAATTCTGAACAGGAGTTTCCTTTGCTCGACTGATGGGAAGGGCACACCCACACTACCTTGGGGGGATGCGGTGATGCGAGCGGGTAGGGCTGCTGCACACCCCCAGCGGAAAGCAGGGCAACGCTGGAGGTGGGAGCCCACGGGAGGTGAAATACTCTGTGGTTAAGGGGCTGTCACTCTGGATAAAGGCTCTCGCAACAGAATGAGGAGAGGAGAGGGTTCATCAGACAGTTTGGAAATGGCTGCCGTCCTGTCCCTCTGGGGAGCAGCCTCCGGGCCTCTCTTTCCACCCCCGCCCTGGGCCCAGGGGCATTCCCAGACACCAGAGCCTCATCTCAGCTTCGGGGTTAGTATTGCATCATCCTGAAATCTTTCTTAGAGAGAGGCCACTTCATTTCCCTATCAGCGCCTCCCCCTCCATTGAAGCCAACACAGTCAGCCTTTTCCTGTGGAAAATCTCCCATCAACATGGTCGCCATGGCCCCAGTTGTCAAGGGAGATGATGGTGCAGTGACTTCAAGAGGCCTGAAGTGAAGGGAGAGGGAGGTTGCGGCGAGGCCAAGGAGAGTCTTTTTAGGCCAACACTTGAGTCTCCCTTTAGGCTGAGCAAGAGGATCCAGCGAGGGGGCAAGAATGAAAATGTGGGAAAGGGGCAGTCCCGGGGAAAGGGAGGAGTGAGCCTCAGAGCCGGGAGGTAGGCTGAGGGAGCGTGCCTGCTGGGCTACTTTTCCTAAAGGGGCCAAGGTCTCCTACTGACCATGCGTGAGAGAGAGGAGGCGGGGTGAAAGCTAAATCTGAAACAGCAGCCTTGGGAAAATGAACACTGTTGTTGGGATACATAGATCCAGAGCTGGGGGTGAGAAGAGCAGAGATGCTCAAAGGTCTGGGTGGCCAGGCCTTGACCAGCACCAGCTCAGGCACCAGGGATCCCTGCTGTTCCGTGTGGGCAGCGGAAGCTTCCAGAATCCACCCGCCAGGCACTGCCCATTGGTCTGGAGCACATTCTGCACTCGAACTGGGCGGATCATGTAACCATGGTGGCTCACCAGGGCGCTCTATAGGCTGAGAAATGAAGGAAACGGGGCAGCTCTACAGTGCCCTTGCTCGGTGCTGCCAACTAATCCTCACAGGTACCCCAGTCAGAAAAGCACTGTGCATCCTCTGTGCCCACGAGGGTAACTTCCACGTCTCTGCTTCTATTCTCTCCAAAGCTTGCTCCTAGAAATGGCTGACTTCTGTCTGGGGCAGGGAAAATACAAGAGAGCCTACATCTTGTAATGCCAGAAAGTAAGGCAGTGCTCAAAAAAACACAGCCCTAGCTGGTTTGGCTCAGTGGATAGAGCGTCGGCCTGCAGACCAAAGGGTCCGGGTTCGATTCTGGTCAAGGGCATGTACTATGGTTGCAGGCTCCTCCCCAGCCTGGGCCCTGGTTGGGGCACATGCAGGAGGCAACCAATCGATGT